CCACCATGGAGGCTGCCAACCACCTTGGTGACTTCAGCCAGGGAGATGGAAGTATCCGCCCCAACATCCTCACCCTCTGCCTCCTGGACAGAGGTTGTGACGGGGGGGATTGAGAAGAACCTGGAAGTATTCCTTCCACCGCCCGACAATATCGACCCCATTCGAGGTCTGCAGCTCTCCACCCACACTATACACGGTGTTGGCAAAGAACTGCTTCCCCCTCCTGAGGCGCCGGACGGTTTGCCAGAACCTTTTCGAGGCCGACCGATAGTCATGCTCCATGGACTCTCCGAACTCCTCCCAGTCACGGGTTTTTGCCTCTGCAACAGCCCGGACCGCGGCACGCTTGGCCTGCCGGTACTGGACAGCTGCCTCAGGAGTCCCACGAACCATCATTGCTCGATAGGACTCCTTCTTCAGCCTGACGGCATCCCTTACTGCCGGTGTCCACCACCGGGTTCGGGGATTGCTGCCGGGACCAGCACCAGAGACCTTGCGACCACAGCTACATGCCGCCGCAATGTCCCCCTCCTCTGCCGGGACCTGGAAGAAGCTCTCCCGGAGGTGTGAGTTGAAAGTCCGTCTGACAGAGGGCTCAGCGAGACGTTCCCAGCAAACCCTCACTACACGCTTGGGCCTGCCAGGTCTGACCGGCTTCTTCCCCTGCCAGCGGATCCAACTCACAACCAGGTGATGATCGGTTGACAGCTCCGCCCCTCTCTTCACCCGAGTTTTCGAGACACACGGTCGAAGGTCAGATGATACGACAACAAAGTCGATCATCGACCTCCGGCCTAGGGTGTCCTGGTGCCACGTTCACTGGTGAACACCCTTGTGCTCGAACATGGTGTTCGTGATGGACAGACCGTGACCGGCACAGAAGTCCAACAATTGAACACCGCTCGGGTTCAGATCAGGGGGGCCGCTCTTCCCGATCACCCCTCTCCAAGTGTCACTGGCATTTCCCACATGGGCGTTGAAGTCCCCCAGGAGAATAACGGAGTCCCCGGGCGGTGCACTGTCCAGTACCCCTCCCAAGGACTCCAAGAAGCCCGGGTACTCTACACTGCCGTTAGGCCCGTAGGCCGTCACAACAATGAGAGACTTGTCCCCCACCGGAAGCGGAGGGACGCGACCCTCTCATTCACCGGGGGAGAACTCCAACACGTGGCGGCTGAGATGGGGGGCAATGAGTATGGCCACCCCAGCTCGCCGCCTCTCCCCGTGGGAAACACCAGAAAAGTGGAGCGTCCAACCCCTCTCAAGGAGTTGGGTTCCAGAGCCTAACCTGTGTGTGGAGGTGAGGCCGACTATCTCTAGTCGGTATCGCTCAACCTCCCCCACGAGCTCGGGCTCCTTCCCCCCCAGTGAGGTGACGTTCCACGTCCCAAGAGCCAGATGTTGAGTGTGTGGACTGGGTTGTCGAGATCTACGCCTTCGACTGCTGCCCAGTCCTCGCTGTACCTCGCCACCACGGACCCCTCTGCAGGTGGTGGGCCCACAGGAGGGACTGCCCACGTCATCCCTTCGGGCTGAGCCCGGCCGGGCCCCGTGGGCTAAGGCCCGGCCACCAGGCGCTCGCTTGCGAGCCCCAACCCCAGGCCTGGCTCCAGGGTGGGGCCCCGGCTGTGCCATGCCGGGCGACGTCACTGCTTTTGTAATAGTGCGTATATATATAAGACCTTTTGTCCATAAATGCAAACCTGTGTTACCATTGGGAAAACACCGTTCAAAATTCTAAACACATTGTGTGATTGAAAACACTGAGACACACACAGTGGGTAGGGCTAACTGGTAATGTTTTAAATTAAGTCCCACTAAAGTTTTATGTGTCTACCAGCAGCTATACATCTTCAAAAACATGTGGGGTGCCACAGGGGTCCATACTGGGTCCACTTTTATTAAATATTTATATGTACTACAACCCCATCATATTATACACATGCTGACGACACACAGCTAGTGTATATATTTCTGTATTTTCCCAGGATTTTAGTCCACTTACAACATTGCGGGACTGCATCCATCATGTCAGAGAATGAACAGGTAAAAACTTCTTCAGCTTAACGCTGAGAAGACAGAAGTTATTGTCTTTGGACCTAAAAATAAACGTTCCAAAGTTAATAGTTATCTAGACTCCTTGTTGTTGTAAGTATCAAAACCAAGTAAAAAGTCTTGGTTGATTCTGAATAAAATTTTACCAAACACGAAAACGCCATCACCAAGACTGCTTTTTACCACCTTAAAAACATAGCTAGAGTTAAACACTTTCCTACTAAGAAAGACCTTGAAAAACAAATACATGCTTTTATCTTTAGCAGATTTGATTATTGCAAAGGTATTTTTACAGGGCTCAGCAAAAAATCCATGCAACAGCTGATTCAAAATGTAGCGGCAATGAGTCCTCACAAATTTGATCATATCACGCAAGTTTATTAATCTTAACACTTCCAGTCTGTTTATAGAAGAGACTCTAAAGTGCTTCTCTTTGTGTATAAGGCACTGAATGGACTTGCCCAAAATATGTGCAAGATATGCTTGTTCCATGTGAAAGCGAGAGGGTCCTCAAAC